TATATAATATATATATATATATATATATATATATATATATATATATATATATATATATATATATATATATATCCATATATAATATATATATATATATATATCCATATATATATATATATATATATATATATATATATATATATATATATATATATATATATATATATATATATATGTGTGTGTGTGTGTGTGTATGTTTATATATATGTATTATATATATATATATACATATATTGTGTGTACACAAACACACACACACACGGGCGCACACATACATAAACACACATACTCATACATACGGACACACGTACATATAAATTTCTATATTCATATTTTTCATATGTGGTCCTTGTGTTGGATTAGAAATTCCTTAAAGATTTAGCGCCATTAACCATTAACCTTCCCGTCAATAAGCAGAATGGCCGAGCCACCTTCTCAAAAAAACTTTATCGCTGAGTATAAAGCCATAATAATCTTTAAAAAAAAGAAATCCCAATATTTATGGCCCCGCCTCCTTGCGCCCTCCTTCCAGACTCCGCCCACAGGGACCCTCTCCTGCTGCAGGAAGGCCGCACAAGGCACTGCGTCCCGTCCGCTGAGGAAGGTACTGTGTATGGCACTCTGGCGCGGTGGGTGTCAGTAAGAGTAGTGGCACTGTGGGCTCTTGCAAGCATTGTGGCACTGTGAGTTCAGGGACGTAATATGGCGCGGTGAGCCTGAGTGAGCGCTGTGGGCTTAAAGGAGCAGTGCAATGTTGTGGGCGTGAGAGAGCATTACGGTACTGCTGACGCGAAGGGTCTCTGGAAGGCTCTGGAAGGCATAGCCGTTTTGTCGCTGATGTGAAAGTTCAACAACGGCGATCAACTCCCTTTCATAGGAGGATGCAAATGTTCAGACGATTGCCTTCACTGCCGCAGGAATCGCCGCAACTTAACCTAATCATCTTAAAAGTGATCGTTCCCTTCCATGACGAATTCTTTACAGCATTTCTCTCTTAAACCGCCCACATCGCCATTCGTAAAAGTCATAACAGGATATTTACACTTTAATCCGCTGGCAACGATCACCTGTCCTGTCAGCTGCAGTTTTGTTTTGTGAATTTTGCCGCACAGGAATCAATCAGTCCTAATTGACCTTGCCTATTTTGGGTCCTAATTGATTTTGCCCATTTTGGGTCGAAATTGACCTTGCCTATTTTCTCAATTTCTTGGATTTTCGGGAAACTTCTTTCGAATATCTGTATCTATGCTTTTTATCATCATAAGTGAAATTATGATCATCATAATCTTAACAAAACTATTAGCAAAAAATAAAAATAAAAAAAGACCCCGAGAACCAAGGAAGAGAATGAACAGGGTTACTATAATTACCGCAAATGTTACGAATACGACACTATGGCCATGACTTCGGCGTTCATTCTAGTTGGTAAATGATTATTACCCATATATCACGATGCAAGAATTTATGCACAACTATAATACAAGTAATAAAATTGCAAAATATACCTGAGGTTCAGTTGTTGTTATGTTTGATAAATAAGATGTAAATATCTTAATCCGAAGTATAGGTGCCATCATCGCATTCGTATGATTTGCGGTAATGGTGGTAACTATGGGAAGGACTTGTAATTCAGTGGACGAAACCAAGGTACTTAAGGGTGCGTCCACACCATTGTGGGGAACATAATAAGAGAGAGCATATGTGTGTGAGTGTGTGTGTGTGTATGTGTGTGTGTGTGTGTGTGAAATTCCAAGAAAATCAGATCACCTAAAAAAACAAAATAGAACAAGGCACCAGCGAAACGGGAAAGTTATTAAAAAGAAGACAATTGGATACAAATCTCCTGATATGTATGGGGACATCTGTAACAATGTTGAGAGACATGTCGGCAATAAAATACGTCTTGGTGAAACGGTCCACACCTTGTTGGTCTGTTGGCCGGTGGGAGGTCTCTGACATCACCTCGTCCACACCAAGACTGCTAACATGACGCCCAACAAATCCGTACCAATATGTCTACTACGATGTTCCTCAATGACTTATCAACTTGTTACCCAACTTGTCAGTCTAATGTTTCCACCATGTTTTGTCACTAGACTTACATGTACCTCGAATAAGACGAGTAGGTCGTGCCATCCCGGCCTGTGGTTAAGATGAGCAAAGGATCTCTTAAGGTGAATTAAGAGGTCCGAACGTTGTCACTGAAATCCAAGGCCCATGTATCCAGACGAGCATATGAAAGTAATTATTACGATAATTACTCAAAAGCTGAAATAGCATTACAATGACTATAAATAGAACAATTTTTTTACAGATTTTGATATTTTCATAACACCGAGCGCCAAAACACACACACCCAAATACCAGACTATCCATACAACAGACAAAACAAAGACTCTAAAGTCAAAACAAATACTTTCCAGATGACGGGATCTGCCAGAACACCCGCTGCCCTCTTGCTGCTGATTCCCACAGCGGTTGTCTACGGTAAGAACTTTGTCTCAGCTGCGAAGAATCACTGTAGATTGGCGGGTGTACGACTCCACTCAGACGGCCCGACGCAATGAATATTCGTATATAAAGACATGCATATACGCAGAAATAAATGCATATCTGTCTATTTATCACACACAAATATATATATATATATATATATATATATATATATATATATATATTCGGTAACATCACCACCACCATCATCATTATCACTATCATTATCATCATCATCATTATCCATCATTATCATTCATCACTATCACAATCATCATCATATCCTTATTATCCTCATCACCATCAGTGGCAGCTAATGGTCGTGTATCATGTCAGACGTTCACTCAGTCGTTCAGAGCACTCCTCATGATATAAGCCAGGAGAGATGGTCTGCAGTTACGCTCTACATAATATTGTTTTTATTCGTTTTACTATATTTGCGTTTAGACTGATAGTTATGCATTTGTTCCCGCGTATATGCATGTCCGTATAGGGAGCGGTCACTGGGTCGCTCCACGCACAATTTTAACAAACCAACCGAGAAAGTCTTATCTCCCAAGGTGCATTTCTCATCAGTCTGCTGTGTAATGCGTTTTGCTTCACATATAATAGTAATAGAATAGTGATGACGATAACAATATAATGATGATGATATTGATAATACTGCTATTAATAATAAGTGTAATGGTGATGTTATCGATGGCGATGCCACTAAAGAAAATGACAATGAAAATAAGGAAAATAAGTGATTCTATTCATAATGATGATAACAACAATAATAGTAATAATGATAAAGATTATCATTATCATAATGATATTAACGAATGTTATGAAGCTAATTATACAACAACAATAGTAATGACCGTGATAGTATTAGTAATAGTAATAATAACATAAGGATAGAAACACTGATAAGGATGATATTAGGAATAAACTGATTATAATAATGATAATAATAACAGTAATAATAATAGTAATGATAATGATGATATTAACAGTACTGACAATAAAAAATAATAATAACAGCAACAACAACAATAATGATAATAATAATTTATCATTATTATTATTATTATTATTATTATTATAATGCAAATGATGATGATATTGATAAGAATAGTAAAAATCATAGATACTACATTTTTCCTTAATATTGTCATTATCATTATCATAGTTATTATTGTTATTTGATTATCATTATTTATCCTTATTATCATCATCATCTAGTTCCTATTACTGTTGTTAATATTATCATATTATAATATTATTTTTATAATTATTATCATCATAGTAATCATTATTATTGTCATTATTATAAGCATTATCATTAAGCTTTTTATGACCATTGCCACCATCATTGTTTTTATTCATTATTGTTCTTATTATCATTGTTATAATTATCACATGATTTTATTATTCTTATTACTATCATTATTATCATCAGAATCTTTATCATCATTATCATTTTTTTTATTATCGTTGCCCCCTTTATTACCACTATTTTAATTTTTATATCATTATTAATATTATGAATATTAGCTATTATTACTACTGAAAAAGCGAAAAAATACTACCGCAAGAAAATTATTATCATCTTTCTTACTATTGCAAGAAAATGATTATCATTATCACTACTGCAAGAAATTTATTTTCATTATTACTTACTACTGCAAGAAAATTGTAATCATTATTACTACTGCAAGAAAATTGTAATCATTATTACTACTGCAAGAAAAGCGCCAATGATATCATATTATTATTCATGGTAGCCCTCACCATCGTCATCATTAATTTTCTCATCAAACTGATAACTCTCAACACCACCATCACTATCACCACCATCACTATTATTATCCTCCTATTCAAACCATTATCACCAATCACTATCATCATCATCACTACTTTCCTAATCAAACCTTATCACCAAACACTATCATCAACTACTACTTTCCTAATCAAACATCACCATCATTATTATCATCATCATCTTTACTTTCCTAGTCAAGCCTCATCATCAAAACTATCACTATCATCACTACTTTCCTAATCAAACCTCATCATCACTACTACTTTCCTAATCCTCACCATCATCATCATCACCAATCACTATCATCATCATACAACTTCCAATCAAACATCCACTCATCACTATCATCTCTCAAACTTTTCCTAATCAAACATCCATCATCATCACTCACATCACTATCACTCAACTAATTAATCAATCATCATAACTACTACTTCCTAATCAAACATCACCATCATCATCATTATCATCATCATCACTACAGATCACTATCATCACTACAACTTTCCTAATCCAAACATCACCAATCACTATCATCACTCAACTTTCCTAATCAAACATCACCAATCACATCATCATCACTACAACTTCCTAATCAAACCATCACATCATCACCATCCAACCACCGCCCTCGCCACCCCCCCCTTCCTCCCCGGTCCAACGCAACTCACCACCCTCTGCAGCGGCCAACCTCGTGCCGATGGTGACGTTCCAGACGGGCGACGTGGCCACCACCGAGAGCTACCTGGACACGGGGATGAATGGGATCCCGAACCTCTCGCAGGTAGGTCGCTTTCGTCACGGGTTCTGGAAGGGCTGTCGGGGAATTTATAGGGTCGGGGGGGGTCGGGGGATAGGTCACGGTCGGGTCGGGGGATATGTCGGGGTCGGGGAATTTATCAGGGGTCGGGGAATTATATCAGGGGTCGGGGGATATGTCAAGGTCGGGGAATTTTATCTGGGGTCGGGGAATTTATCAGGGGTGGGGGATATGTCAGGTCGGGGAATTTATATCAGGGTCGGGGATATGTCAGGGTCGGGGAATCAGGGGTCGGGGGATATGTCAGGGGTTGGGGATTTGTCACGGGTCGGGGAATATATCTGGGGTCGGGGAATATATCAGGGGATTGGGGATATGTCACGGGTCGGGGAATTTATCTGGGGTCGGGGTATATGTCACGGGTCGGGGAATTTATCTGGGGTCGGGGGATATGTCAGGGTCGGGGGATATGTCAGGGGTTGGGGAATTTGTCACGGGTCGGGGAATATATCTGGGGTCGGGGATATGTCACGGGTCGGGGAGGGGTCGGGGGATTATGTCACGGGTCGGGGAATATATCTGGGGTCGGGGAATTTTTTAGGGATCGGGAAATAG